CCTCCTCTTCCTCCTCCTCCTCCTCCTCCTCCTCCATCCATCCTCCCTAGCACGCGATGCGTCCCAATGTGCTGCACAACATAAACAATGCACGTGTCAGTGGTCTCATGGCCTCGCGGGGCCTCCCAGGGTCTCCACCAAGTGTGTTCTGCAGCATTATGGTTGTCTTGGGCGCGCGCGCGCGCATCCTGGGAACCTCATATGTGTGTCTGGGCAAATGCGAAGATGTCTCAGGCGATGTGCCGATGCGTTTTCACGGTGAGGAGTTAGGAGGACATGAGGGAGACGAACGAGCCAAACCAACGTTCGAATTACATCCAATATGATAGTGTGTAAAAAAAACAACTTGATCCCGGATCAGGCGGGGATCAGATCCTACATGAGCTGATCCCGGATCTGATCCCGGATCTGCGGGATCAAGCTCAGCATGATTTGATCCCGGATCTGATCCGGATCTGATCCCGGATCTGATCCCGGTGGGATCGGGGGATCTTGATCCCGGGATCCTCGAGATTTACGCGCGCCGGGGGGCCCCGGAACGCCCGGGAACCTCACGATCACAACCCTGGGGTTCGTGATCGGGGGGCCCCAGGGCGGCTCCGGGGGCCCCGGGGGCGGCCGTGTGACCCCGGGGCGGCCTTGGTGGGTGACCGCGGCGGCCCGGACGTCCCCCGAGATAGCGCGTTCGGCTTCCGACATGGCACCGGGACTTCGCCGGCGGGGGGCGTGGGGCGGGGGTCTTCGTATCACCCGCTCTTACGGCCCCTGCTCGGGGGGCTCCGGGGGCGCGGGCTGGGGGCGCGGGGCGCTGTTGACACAAGATTTCTTATGTCACAGGCCTCGGCGGCCCTGGCCGGGCGGGCCGTGGGCGCGATCCTGGGGGCCGGGGGGGGGGCGGCCCCGGGGTGGGGCTGGCGTCGTCGTCGGTGTCGTCGCCGCCGTCGCTGCCGTCGCCGCCGCTGTCGTCGTCGTCGCTGGTGCCGCCTTCGTCGGGGTCGTCGTCGCCGTCTTTCTGCCCCCCCCTCCCCCCCTGCCCTCCCTTGCCCTCCCCCTTTTTCTTCCCCTCCCCTGCCCCCCCCCCTCCCTCCTCCCTCCCTCCCCCCGCCCCCTTTCATCGGTCCAACGGAGTCCTTCGACCCTGGGGGGACCTGGCAAGAGAGCGCGCCCCCGACGGGCGTCCAGCGATAACCCCGTCAGTCCTGCCGTGGCAGGCTTCGGGGCTCGCTGAGTCGCTGGCAGACCGTCGGGCCAGGTTTGTAACATCCGTTTAATAAGTTTCTCCCAGTCTGCCGGGAGAAACCCGCGCCGGCCGGACCGGTGGCGGCATGCTATCGAAGAAGCGGGAGGGGGAGGGGGAGGAGGCGGAGGAGGGGGAGGAGGAGGCGGAGGAGGCGGAGGGAGAGGAGGACGAGGAGTTGGGAGGGGGACGGAGACGATTCGACGCAGACGTCGACGACGCCGGCCGCGGCGGCGGCAGCCGCGGCGACGGCAGCGACAGCCTGGCGGCATGGGAGGCGAAGGAGGAGGCCCGCGTCGCGCCCTCCGGCGACACGCTCACGAAGGAGCGGGCTGGCCCCGACGTTGTTAAGGCCTCGGGCTGCGTACAGACACCCCCCCCCGCAGGTAGTCCCGGCTGGCCTCAGCAGGCGCCCCGAGTAGCCCGGGCCGGTCTCAACACCCTGGCGCCGCTTCCAGCGGCGCCCATGAAGCGCTGCGCGCCCCAGGGTTGAGGTGTTGAGACCGCTCCAGACTATTCCGGGGGCCTGTTGAGGCCAATGGAATTACCTGGGCGGGGCCCGAAGCCCGTCTGCGTGCAGCCCGAAGCCTTGCGACGTTCCTCCGCTCCCCAGAGGGGAAGGAGAAGGAGGAGGGGGATGTTGGGGGAGGGGGGGCCCTGAGATCCAGGCGCCCGATTTTTTTTGCGACGGGCGTTTTCGCGCAGTCTCGGGCGGAGGAGGAGGAGGAGGAGGAGGAGGAGGAGGACGGTAAGGATGATGATGATGATGATGATGATGATGATGATGATGATGATGATGATGATGATGATGATGATGATGATGATGATGATGATGATGATGATGACGCTGCTGCTGCTGCTGATGCTGCTGCTGATGATGATGATGATGATGAGGTAAATTGTTTAACGCTTGCGTCGTATCTAAACTCACGTACAGCCTAGAAACACTTCGTCTGCAAACAGCAAACTTAGTTAAGATCGATGCTTTCCAAGCCCAGTCTGGGTACGGCCCCCTCCATCCATGAAGCCGCTGCATCTGTAGGAGTGTGGAGGAGCACGCAGTGGAATTCGCCGGCCCAACGGGCCAGAGGCGTGCTAAGATCTCCGGTCACTGCTTTACAATCTTTCTACTTCGCGCGCGCGGGGCGGCCCCTGGGGGCCCCCGGGCGGAAAGTACCCCGGCAAGGTCCCGAGAGAGTCCCGGGAGGAGTCACCAGGGCGCTCCAGCAGCGCACCAACGCGGCTCCGAGACGTCCCCGAGAGCCCCAAGAAGGGCCAAGAGGCTTCCAAGAGGCCCCCAAGATGCTACATGAGGGGTCCGAGATGCCACAAGATCGCTCCAAGACGCCCACGATGGCCCCCAGACGCCCCAAGAGGCCTCCAAGAGCACTCCCGAGAGGGCCCCAAGAGGCAAAATTCACTGCTTTTCTTTAGGTTTTGGAGAAATTTTGGCGTTTCCACCTTCTCGGCTTCACGACACCCCAAGACGGCCCAAGAGGCCCCCAAGACCGCCCCAAGAGGGCCCAAGAGGCCCCCAAGAGGGCCCCAAGACGGCCCAAGAGGGCTCCAAGACGGCCCAAGAGGCCTCCTCCAAGACGGCCCAAGAGGGCCCCAAGAACGCCCCAAGAGGGACCCCAGGGGGGGAACACGAAACAATATTTCGAGCCCTCGGCCCTCAGAAGTCCCCAGGAGGCCCCAAGAGGCCCCTAAGAGGCCCCAAGAGGCCCCCAACAGGCCCTCAGGAGGCCCCCAAGAGGCCCCCAAGCGGCCCCAGGAGGCCACCCAAATGCCCCCCCGAGCACGCAAGCAAGTGCCAGCGACGCTACACTATGGGCCGGCGGAATGAGCGAAGCGATTCAATAAACGCCTTGGTAAGCCAGCGTACCCCAACAGGGGGAGGATGGAGGAGGAATCCTAGGAGGAGGACGGGGAGGGGGAGGAGGAAGGAGGGAGGAAAAGGCACAGGCGAATGATGATGATGCTGATGATGCTGATGATGCTGCTGCTGCTGATGATGATGATGATGATGATGATGATGATGATGATGATGGTGAGGAGGAGGAGGAGGAAGAGGAGGAGGAGGAAAAGGAGGGCGAGCAGAAAAGGCCAGAGATTTTTTGAATGTCGCTCGGAGTTTTTGTTTGGGATGTCTCTTGAGAGCTTCGTGCGGTCCTATGGGACCTCTTGGCGTTTCCAGGGGCCTCGTGGAGCATCTTGGGTGTGGGGCCTCTTAGGGGACCTCTTGGGACCCCCGTAGGGGCATCCTCGGCGCCTCTTGGGGCCCTCGTTGGACCGTCTTGGGGTGCCCTTGGGGGGAGTCCCCTCCTCGGCTGCGCGCTGCCCTTCCGGGGCTTTTCTGATGTGATTCCGCCCCAGGATGGCCACGAGGCTGCTCTAGGGTGGTTTCTCCTTAACCCCATACTGCTTTTCTCGGCCTTCGGCCGAGGGCGTCTGGGCCTTTTAGGCAGCATGTCGCCATCAACCACAACAAGCACCCTTGGGGGCCATCGTGGGGCCATCTTGAAGGAGATCGATGGAAGAAAGGGGGGGTCTTAATTAGGGCTCCCCTCCAGGAGGCCAAAATGTGACCAAAACTTAGGTAACATAAAACAAATGACGCTCTACTCGGTCGCGGGGCGCCCCGTCCAGGTCCAGGGGAAGGGTTGGGGAAGAAGGGGGGGTGGAAGATGACACCGCCAAACCATTCACGCTCTAAAAAGGGCTGGTTGGACTTTTTGGTAAGAGGGCCGGGGGAGGAGGAGAGAGACTGATCCCCAGGCGCTCTGAAGCAGGCTCCTTCTGGGGCGCTTCAGGTGGCCTCCCTGGGGGGCTCCCCATACACGGCCCACGGGCAGCAAGCAGGCGTACCGTAGGTTCGCGTCGTGTCGACCGGCGGCGACCCCGCCGCTGGCGTTCCACGTTCTGGCGTTCCACGTTCGATTCCGCCGGCGACCCTCGGGTCGGGGAAAGGGGGGGATTGGGAAAGGGGGGGTTACGAAATTTGCTGCATGCAGCTGGTTTCGGCCTCACCGAGGGGCCCATTCCTCGATACATGGCCGCCTCTGGCGCCGGGAGGCGCCGGGAAAATCAGCTACGTGAGCTGATTCTCAAACCCCCCCTTTGCTATCCCCCCCTTTCGCCCGACCCGACTGACGCTTCGGAAACAGCCGAACGTTCAAGTTTGAAGGACCCCCGCTGTGTCAGGAGCCAACGCCGAGGCCGACACGACACAAACCTGCCGTACACGGATGAGTTGCGGGTTCCCAGAGGAATTCCAGAGGCCCCCCAGGTTGGCAGGGTGCCCCTGGCAAAGCCTGGCAGGCTCCCTTCTGGGGTTCTGCTGCTTGTCACGGCGAAAAGCCCAAGAGGGTTGGCCAGGGGCTTCTCTGGGGCAGCTGTGAGAGCCTCAGGGGGCTCACAGAGGGCTTCGCGAGGACCCCAGGGCTTCCAAGGAACTCTGACGAGGAAATATTAGCTCCACATCGAATAGCAACACCAATTCATAAACATTAATTTTCAGAGGTCCTCGCGGATTTCTTGGATCGGCGCTGGCCCCGTCTGGCGGCGCTTCCGGCGCCACCCCTGGCACGCCCAGCGCGCTCGGGAGGGGTCATAGCGTCGATCCAAGAGTTGAGCGCTGGCCTCCGAAAGTTTATGGTCCAATCTATGGTTACTAGGGTTTCTCCTACTCCTACCACAGGGGCCTGGGTCCAGCAGCCTCCCCACCATACGTGGCAAGCGGCGTCTCTCGCCCGCGGCGGCAATGGAAGCGCTCCGCGCGGGGCTTCCAGAGGGTCTCAATGGCTTCCCAGTGATCTCCTGCGAGGCGAGGCAGGCTATCCTAGGGATGCCTGGGTGTTCCCCGCAGCCTCCCCGCCGTGTTGCCCACGCATCCTCGTGCATTGAAGAGCATCCGCGAAGGCAAGTCTCAACAGTTTGGCGCGTGCAGGAGGTATGGTCAGGAAAGTCTGCTCGGCGTGGTTCGCCGCCAGTTCTGGCCCACCTCGCCTCGGCGCGACACGCTAATAACCACTCCCCGACTCCCAGGCGTGGCGACGTCCCGAGCCTTTGGAGCGACACGCTGCCCGCTTGCAGGACACAGCGTGTCACTGGGGGCCGCCGCCGCGACACGCTGAGCAAAGCATCCTGGCCGTAGGGGCGCGCTGGGCACAGGACGGGCCCCGCCGCTCCCTCTCCGTGCCCAGGCACCACGGCTGTGTGGAGGGAGGCACAGGCGATGAGGGCGATGATGTGCCGTGGCCCGCCCGTCGTCAGCTCGGGACGATCAAGATGGATACGGAAACGACGGGTATAAAGTCCGAGAGCACTTCGTGCTCAATCTGAACAGGGTGCGCTGTCGGCGAGGCCGCGGTGGTTGTCTATTTGAGCCCCCTGCCGAACGGTTGCCGCTGTCGGTTCGGGGTAGCGTTTGTTGTTGGGCATGGTAGCCATTTTTGTTCGTGCTCTTCTCGGGCGTCCAAATCAGCGGCAAGGAGGCGCACCCCGATCCCTCAGCAGGCGCGGATCGGAGCGCGGGGCTATCTTATGTCGAAAGGCTTCAAAACACAGGGTCACCCCCAGGAGCGTGAAGACAATCGCCCTTCGCGTCGCGGCTTGGACTTAAATCTGCCCTTCTCCAGGGTGGAGACGCCAGGGAGGGATGATTGCCGCCCGTCGCGCATCGCAGGGAGCGATGCGCGAAGTTAGATGACTTAGAGATCAATGGATTATCCATGTAGACCTCCCAGATGGGGTCCGAGAAGATGGATGTCGGAGGATCGCACCGCATCGCCGAGATTTTCTCCACGCCGACCTCGCTGATGCGTCGACGATGTCGATGATGCATCGGCGAGTCATCGCCAATGCATCACCGACGCATTGGCGATGCGGCGAGATCCGCCGACCCCTTCAACTCCATGTGGGAGGCTCCTAGTACCAATGCAAGCGTAACAGCGAAACAACATCTCAATCAATCGGCGCCCAGCAGCAGTTTGTGGAGCTCTACGGTGGCGAGAAAGAGTGGGACGCGGCTTCTGCTCCAGACGGTGCGGCAGAGAAGGCAGCGAAGGAGAAGGCCATACGCCTCCGCGCCATCGTTTGTTTTCAACCTCGCCCCTGCTTGTTTGCTACGTTGCGTCTTCCTCCAAGCTCATCCCCCGCCCGACCGCCATGCCGTGCCAAGGGGCATCTCATAGACGAGTCTAGCGAGGGTGGGCGGAGCAGCATTCGACCGCACTCAGAAGTTGCATGATCCAGATCCTCGGTGCGCTTATCCGCCATTGCGGTTGGGCACAGGTGTGGGGGAAGCGAGCACTTAGACCGGGATGGCAGGCAGTTTTTGTGTTGGAGCGGCGTCTGGTCAGCAAGATTTGCCAGCTTGGTGCTTGCCTGCTTGCTGCAGTCACAGCCTTGCTTTGCAGGAGCGGGTCCTACTACTCCCTCTGGTTGAAGCTGGTCTCGTCGGCATTCTCAATGTCTCGCTAAGTGCTCTGGCCTGAGTTCCTGCCCGTCTGCCCTCGGCAAGCATGCTTGATCAAACGCTGGAAAGTATATCCCCTTGCGGGATTCCGAATGCCCAGACACTGATGACAGTTGAGCTGAGCAGAAACCCAAGACAGTAGAGCAATTGCCTCCAAGAGATCTCGATGCGAGTTTCCTGGTATTCTGGTGCGTGGTCGCACGCACTTTCATACATTTCTGTGGCTCGGGGTGCGGCGGGGCATGCGACACATGTTTTGTTTTGCTATCTTGCGTGAACTCATCAGCCATCAGCCAAACTCGTACCTTCAGTCAAATGGCAACAAACAGACATGGATAACCGTAGCCATCTCGGCCCAACCACTCTTTTTATGATCGCTCGGTCTTTGGGCCTGTCACGCTGACATCCTGCCATATTCGTTGCCGCTTCGAGTGGTGATGAGGTCGACCGCGTTTGGGGGATTTGTACTTTCGCAACTGCTTCTTACGCCAGAGCAGCGGTCCCCAACGACAAGCTTGAGGAGGCCCGGCTCAAGCACAACGCCGACGGGAAGGCCAGGTTGCCACGTGGCGCGCAAAGATCAATTGTATGATGCTCGCCGGCCTGTTGTTGGCACGTTGCCACGTGGCGAATTGAAAGGAACACTTGTTTTCGTCCCCCTCCCCAGGCGCTGCCACGCGGCGAATCGAGTGAGATTGCATAGCTTCGGCCCGCGCGGCATTGCCACGTGATGAGTCGAGTGGAGTTATACTTCTTGTTCGCCCTTCACGTGCCACGTGGCGAGTGGATTGGGATCGATTGTTGTTTGCCCCATCAAGGCCTTACCACGTGGCGTTACCATGTGGCGAGTAGAGTATAGTAGCATTTGTTCCCGCCCATCTTCGTTGCCACGGGCCGAGCAGAGTGGAGTCATTTTGTTTCGCCCCCCAGGCGAAGCCATGTGGCGGGCAGTGGTGGATTTGTATTTGCTTCCCTCACCGAGCGTTGCCACGTGGCGAGGAGAATAGCGCAGTATTTGTTTTTTTTTTCCGGCGTTGCCACGTGGCGAGTAGAGTGAAATGCTATCTGTTTCGCCCCGCGGGCGTTGCCACGCGGCGAGTGGTGGAGTGGAGTAATGTGCGTTTCGCTCCCCAGTCGCTGCCACGTGGCAACTCGCGGATCTCTTGGATCGGCGCCAAAGCCCCTCTGCCGGCGCCTCAAGCGCCGCCCCTGGCGCGCTCCGCGCCTCCAGGGAGATGGGGCTAGCGCCGAGCCAGGTCTCCATGGTTGCCTGTCTGTCCGTCTGTGGCATCGTCTCGGTGGCGTGCAGTTCCCGCCCCCTGGGAGAAGTCCCGGGACCGGACTTTCCCGGGACGGGGCGCCAGCAGCAGCACAACTTGCTTGCTGGCGCGGGTTCGCTTGCCTCCTTGCTGGAGTCATCCTTCCCCTTCGGCCCATCCTTGGCCGGTTTCGCTGGCCGCGCCCCTCTCAAAGTACCGGCATTGCCTGACAAGGCCCTTGCATCCTTACCGTGCGTCCTTTTTACACGGATCGTCTGTGCTGCTCCCCCTCGAGCAGACTTCGTGCGCACGATCTGTCCGTCTGTCAGTCTGTCTGCCGTTCCTGGCGCGCTCCGAGGTCGCGGCCGAGGCGGCCGCCTGGGACATCGTGCCCTGCGACTGCGCCGCGCCCTCGGCGCGGGGGGGGCGCGCCGCGCCTTCGCTGCTCGGCAGGTGCTGCCCGGGTTCCTTCTGCTGCTCCTGCTCCTCGCCCCTCTCTCCCCTCTCTCTCCCTCCCTCTCTCCCTCCCTCTCGTCCTCTCCCCTTCCCTCCGTCCTCCCTGTCGCTTTTCCTCCCTCCTCCTCCTCCTCCTCCTCCTCCTCCTCCCTCCTCTTCCGTCCTGCTCCCCTTCTCCATCCCTATTTTTTCTTGCCGGCACCGCGCGACCTGTGGCACGCTAGTGGGCCGTAGCGTCTAAGCCCTGTCCCCCCTCCTCCTCCTCCTGCTCCGCCTCCTCCACTCATGGGAAACGTCAGTGGGGGAGAAGCTCAGGGGGGGGGGAGGCATCGACCCTGGATCTCCCATTCACCACCCATAATCAGGGGCCCGATAGCCCCCCCACCCCGCCCAGGAGCGTGCGGTTCCACTTTCGGGGGCCCATCCCCGACGCATCGGCGATGTGTTGCCGATTCCGGCTCGATGTTTCCCCCCTTGAGCCGTCCCCCTGCTAACGTTGCCCTTCGTCCTCTGGCTGCTCCTCCTCCAGACCGTGCCTGGCGTGGGAGGGCTCTTGTGAGGTTATCCCCTCCTTGCCAGAAGGGGGACCTTGAGGATCCAGGCCCCCAGGGAGCTCTCGGGAGGCCCCCGGGGTCCGGGGGGAAGAAACCCAGAGACTCGATGTTTTTTGTGCTTCTGTTTCAAGTCGGGATCCCTAGAAGTGCTGACCCTTTCCTCAGGACCAGCTTTGCATGTTGAGTCGTTTTTGGACGGCCCCGGGGACCAGCGAGAGTCCCCAGAGGCCGAAAACGATCCGAAACCTGGGCATCGCATTTGTTCACTGCGTTGGAGGTCTGGGAGGCCCGTTCCAAAAAATCAGCTCTCGGGGAGGTTTTGCCGCCCGGCCCTCTCGCCCGATACTCGGCGTTGCCTCCAGCACACTCACGAGCGGGCCGTGCTCGCCCGCTGCGTGCCCAGGACGCGCGTTCCCATCGGGTGCGTGCACTCCTGCCGCGCCCCCCCTTTCCCTCCTCCCCCTTCCGCGGCCGCCTCGTTCCTTTCCTTCCTCTCGCATACGAGCTAATTAGCAACGCCGTCTCCCGGCCTGCCGAGCGCGCGTGCGGACTGATTCTGCCGCGCTGCGACGCACGAGCGTGCACTCCTGCTGCTGCTGCTCCTCCTTTCTGTTTCTGGGCGTGCCGCGGGAGCGAGCGCTCGCAGCGTCAGTGCAGGCCCGCGCGCGCCGCGGGCCCCCGACGCCGCCCCCGCGGCGAGGGCAGCTGTGGGAGAGGCACCGAGGAAAGGAGCGACGTGGCGAGACGGTGGCAGCATCGTCCGCAAGCCGAGGTGAAGTGACAGTTTCGCGCCTCTGCCAGCGGAGGGGCACTTTGACGGAGGGGCGGGGGCCCTCTGTGACAGAAGGGCTCGTCATCCTCTTTCCCCTCCTCCTGCTTCTCTAGGCCTCCCAGATGGGGTCGGAGTAGATGTGGTCGAAGGATCGCGCCGCATCGCCGACGCATCGGCGATGCCGGTCGATTCAGAGCCCGACTTTCGCCACGCCAATGGCGCCAATGTATCGCCAACATCGCCGGTGCATCGCCGGTGCATCGCCGATGCATCGCCGATACATCGGCGATACATCGGCGATGCATTGGCGATGCGGCGCGATCCTCCGACCCCATCTACTCGGACCCCATCTAGGAGGCGTCTAGCTTCTCAGGCTGGCATGGCCCCTGCTCTTTCCAGCGACACGCCCGCTAGTTCCAAGAGGGCAGGGGGGGCAGCCCGTGGTGGGCGAAGGCGCCCCTTCCAGCGTGCAAGAGAGACCGAGCACGATGAGATCGACGGCGCCGGCCACCGTGAAAGGTCAGGAAAGGGACATCGGGCCGGGCGAAAGGGGGGGATTGGGAAAGGGGGGGTTACGAAATTTGCTGCATGCAGCTGGTTTCGGCCTCGCCGAGGGGCCCATTCCTCGATACATAGCCGCCTCCGACGGCGGGGGGCGCCGGGAGAATCAGCTGCGTGAGCTGATTCTCAAACCCCCCCTTTGCTATCCCCCCCTTTCGCCCGACCCGAGGACAGGATCAGAGGGCGGTAGAGGGTTGGGATTGCCGACCGCGAGCGCGAACAGCCTGCAAACGGACAGCCAAGAAGGCATGAGCGACCATGGGACACTTATAAACATGAGGACGAATGGGAAAGGAAGAAATCCAGAGAGAGTGCAACTGCTCCAGTCGCGCGAGGACGAAACACAGGCGTTGGCGATGGGCGCCACACAGGCGCCAGCAACAGAAGTGGACAAGCGAGACCTCCCACCCACCTCTCGATACCTGCTGAAAACAATGATGGCGGACGTGAGGTTGGCGCGACTGCCTTCTTGCCGGTGGGGGGGGCGCTAGGGTGGCGCTTGGGTAAGTTGTTCCATTCCTACCATTTTCACTCCCACAGCGGCCACCCCCAACATCGCAGACTCGGAGCTGGCTGCCTTTGCCAGTGCACGACGTACAGCACGAAATGCCGCACGACGCCAGCATGCAGACGGCGACCAGGAAGATCACCCCCTATGGAGAGCAGGAGAGGGGAAGACCTGGAGGCACACCTGCAGCATACAGGTCGAGCACGGGGGTTCGACAGCCATCTCAATATACGGCATGGCCCCATGTTACCGCCCAGGATACGAATGAAACAATGGGTGATTCTCACACGGTGTTCGGGGTGACGCGTGTCACCCGTGTGTTGCTTCACACTGTATGACCCCATGTTGACGCCCAGGATACGGGTGGAACAATTTGTTTTCTCACACGGTTTTCGGGGTGACACGTGTCACCCGTGTGTTGATTCGCGTTGTATGGCCCCAGGTTGGCGCCCAGAATACGAGTGAAACATTGTTTTTTTCCCCGCGGTTTTCGGGATGGCACGTCTCACCCGCGAGTTTCTTCACACTCTATGGCCCCATGCTGCCGCCCAAGATACGAATGAAACAATGGGTAATCCTCACGCGGTTTTCGGGTTGACACGTGTCACTCGCGTTTTTTGTCACACTGTATGACCCCATGTTGTCGCCCACAATTGGTTTTGCTCACACGGTGTTCGGGGTGACACGTGCACTTGCGTTATGCTTCACATTGTATGACCCCAGATTGCGAGAGAAACAGTTTTTGTTTCCCACTCGGTTTTCGGGGTGACACGTGTCACCCGTGTGTTGGTTCGCATTGTATGGTCCCATGCTGCCGCCCAAGATACGAATGAAAAAATTGTTAATTCTCACGCGGTGTTCGGGGTGACGCGTGTCACTCGCGTTTTTTTCACACTGTATGACCCCATGGTGTCGCCCACAATTGGTTTTGCTCACACGGTGTTCGGGGTGACACGTGTCACTTGCGTTATGCTTCACATTGTATGACCCCATGTTGGCGTCCAGACTGCGAGAGAAACAGTTGTTTCCCACTCGGTGTTCGGGGTGACACGTGTCACCCGTGTGCTGGTTCGCATTGTATGGCCCCATGCTGCCGCCCAAGATACGAATGAACCAATGGGTAATTCTCACGCGGTGTTCGGGGTGACGCGTGTCACTCGCTTTTTTTCACATTGTATGACCCCAGGTTGTCGCCCACAATTGGTTTTGCTCACACGGTGTTCGGGGTGACACGTGTCACTTGCGTTATGCTTCACATTGTATGACCCCATGTTGGCGTCCAGACTGCGAGAGAAACAGTTGTTGTTTCCCACTCGGTGTTCGGGGTGAGACGTGTCACCCGTGTGTTGATTCGCATTGTATGGCTCCAGGCTGGCGTCCAGAGTACGAGTGAAACCATGTTTTTTTCTCACACGGCGTTCTTGGTGACACAGGCCACCCGCGTGTTTCGTCACAGTCTGTGACCCCATGCTGGCGCCCAGAATACGGGGGAAACACTTGGTTTTTCTCACGCGGTTTTCGGGGTGACACGTGTCACCCGTGAGTTGCCTCACATTGTACAGCCCCATTTTGGCGTTAACCATATTAGTGGAACATTTGGTTTTCTTACGTTGTCTTCGGGGTGACACGTCATTGCATGGCCCCATGCTTCACACTGTATGACCCCATGTTGGCGTCCACACTACGGGTGGGACAACTTGTTTTCTCACACGGTTTTCGGGGTGACACGTGTCACCCGTGTGTTGTTGTTTCGCATTGTATTGCCCCATGTTGGTGTCCAGGTTACGAGTGGAACAATTGTTTTTTTTCCTACGCGGTTTTCGGGGTGACGCGTGTCACCCGTGTGTTGTTTCGCATTGTATGGCCCCATGTTGCCGCCCAGGATACGAATGAAACATTAGGTGACTCTCACACGGTCTTCGGGGTGACACGTGTCGCCCGTGTGTTGTTTCACATTGTATGGCCCCATGTTGGCATCAACAGCACGAGTGGAGCAATTGTTTTTATCTCTCACGCTGTCTTCGGTCTGACACGTGTCACCCGCGTGTTGCTTCACAGTGTTGCCCGTGGGTGATTCTCACACGGTTTTCGGGGTGACACGTGTCACCCGTGTGTTGATTCGCGTTGTATGGCCCCAGGTTGGCGTCCAGAGCACGAGTGAAACAATTGGTTGTCTCACGCGGTTTTCGGGATGGCACATGTCACCCGCGTGCTTCTTCACATTGTATTGCCCCATGCTGGCGCCCAGAATACGAGTGAAACACATGGTTCTTCTCACATGGTTTTCGGAGTGACACGTGTCACCCGTGTGTTGTTTCACGTTGTATGGTCCCATGATGGCGTCGAGAATGCGAATGTACCAATTTTTTGTCCCACGCGGTTTTCGGGGTGACGCGTGTCACTCGCGTTTTTCGTCACAGTGTAGACCCATGATGGCGTCCAGGTTACGAGGGAAACAGCTAGTTTTTCTCACGCGGTCTTCGGGGTGACATGTGTCACCCGCGTGTTGTTTCACATTGTATGGCCCCACGTTGGCGTTAAGAATATGAGTGGCATAGTTTTTTGTTTCACGCTGGTTTCAGGGTGACGCGTGTCACCCGTGTGTTGTTTCACATTGTATGGCCCCATGTTGGCGCCCAGCATACGGAGGAAACAATTGGTTTTGTTCACGCGGTGTTCGGGGTGACACGTGTCACCCGTTTGTTGTCTATTGTATGGCCCCATGTTGGCGTCCAGGATGCGAGTGGAACAATAGGTGACCCTCACACGGTCTTCGGGGTGACACGAGTCACATGTGAGATGCTTCACATTGTATGGCCCCGTGCTGGCGTCCAGAATGCTAGTGAAACAATGTTTTTTTTCTCGCACGTTGTTCGGGGTGACACGTGTCACCCGTGTGTTGGTTCGCATTGCATGGCCCCACGTTGGCGTCCAGGATACGAGTGAAACATGTGTTTGTCTCACGCGGTTTTCGGGGTGGCACGTGTCACCCCGCGTGTTCCTTTACATTGCATGGCCCCATGTTGGCGCCCAGCAACCGAGTGGAACAATTGGTTTTACTCACGCGGTTTTCGGGGTGACACGTGTCACCCACGTGTTTCTTCACATTGTATGGCCCCATGTTGGCGTCCAGAATACGAGTGACACATTGTGTTCTTCCTTGCGGTTTTCGGGGTGACACGTCTCACCCGCGAGTTTCTTCACACTGTATGGCCCCATGCTGGCTCCCAAGAAACGAATGAAACAATGGGTGATTCTCACGCTGTTTTCGGGGTGACACGTGTCACCCGCGTTTTTTTTCACACTGTATGACCCCATGTTGTCGCCCACAATTGGTTTTGCTCACACGGTGTTCGGGGTGACGCGTGTCACTTGCGTTATGCTTCATATTGTATGACTCCATGTTAGCGTCCAGACTGCGAGAGACACAGTTTTTGTTTCCCACTCGGTTTTCGGGGTGACACGTGTCACCGGTGTGTTGTTTCACGCTGTATGGTCCCATGTTGTCGCCTAGGATACACATGAAACAATGGGTGATTATCGCACGGTTTTGGGGGTGACACGTGTCACCCGTTTGTTGATTCTCATTGTATGGCCCCATGTTGAGGTCAAAACTATGAGTGTAACGCATATTGTTTTTCTCACGCGGTTTTCGGTGAGACACGTGTCACCCGTGTGCTGTCTCACATTTTATGGTTTCATGTTGGCGTCCAGAATGCGGGTGCAACAGTTTTTCTTCTCACACGGTTTTCGGGGTGACGCGTGTCACCCGTGTGTTGTTTTACATTGTGTGGCCCCATGCTGTCGCCCAGCATACGAATGAAACAATTGGTTTGTCTCACACGGTCTTCGGGAAGACACGTGTCACCCATGTGTTGTCTCGCACTGTATGTCCCCATGTTGGCGTCCAAGGTACGAGTGAAATAATGTTTTTCTCGCGCTGTTTTTGGGGTGGCACGTTTCACCCGCGTGTTTCTTCACATTGTATGACCCCATGCTGGCGCCCAGCGCGAGCCCCTTCCGTTCCTTGCGCGGTGCAAGTTGGAATTTTCGTGCAGCAGTGTTTGTGATGATGAGGTGTGTGATGGTGGCAATGATGATGAGGAGGAGGAACAGAAGGAGGAGGAGGAGCAGGAGGAGAGCGATTGTGACGTGCGGCAGAAACATGTTCGACCCAAAGTTCACAATGGTTCGGTGATCAGGAGTAGGGCGTGAGTAGTGTGGAGAGTGTTGAGTGATGGGCAGCGGGTAGAATGCAGTAGTATTCGCCAGTGCGAATAGCAGTCGCAAGAGCATCGCCATAGGAGTCGCGCCAGCACCAAGATGTAATAGTGGTGGTAGTTGTCGTGGTCGTCGAATTAGGGTCAGGGTTTCATACGAGGGTGCGCCCTAGCGAACAACTTTTTGTAGAGACGGGTCCTGGCATGCACCGGTGTCAGACGTTCTCTGGTTCGGCGTTCTGCGAGATGCCTTCTCATCCACGGAGCGTCAGAGGGTAGCGAACCGGCCATTCCGATGAGGCGAACGCCGTCAAGTGATAGCCCACGCTAATGCTTGAAAGCAATCTGAATTGCCAAAGGGGGCCCACCACCAACTCCCCTGGATGCCTTTTGGGTACCAGCATCGCTTGTTTCTCCAGCCTACCGAGGTTATGGTTCAGCAGCGGCCACAGTGGATGCAGGTCACCCGCGGGGGCGCGAAGATGGTGGCGCTTCGCGCGCCGCGGTCCGGGCCAGAGCGGCTACCCTTCTCCAAGAGGGCGGGGCGAGGGCACGAAGGCGTGGAACTGATCGCACGTCTCGCATCGCCGGGGTGCGATGCGCGAAGTGAGGTGGCTGTGCGGTCGGGGACTCTCGGGCAGCGCGTCGCTCTGCCGGCTCTGGTCCACCACGCCCAGGCGCGACACGCTGTGCCTGTCCCCACTCCCGGGCGCCAGCGACTCGAGCGTTTCCCAGCCTCCCGCCCTGGGGAGCGGACCGACACGCTGTCCACTCGCAGGTCATGGCGTGTCGCCGGGGCCGCCGCCGCGACGCGCCAGGCGGAAAGTTCCCGAGCGCAGGTGGCGTGGATGGATCCTGTGGCGCCCTTCGCCAGACATGCCTTGCACGGTCTGCTCCAGGCGTTCCCGTGCCTCGCCCTGCTCCCGGGTTCGCCGCGCAGCGGTGCCGGGAACAACAAACAAAACAACAGCGGAGCCGCCTGAGGTCATCGTCCGCGGGGACGCCATCGTGAGCGAGGGAGCCTGCTGCCTTGTCTGCTTTGCACTGGCTCGAAGCAGAGCAGACTGCACACACATGCAGACGTCGTGCTACAGTCACAGCGTGCAGTATGGATCAGCAGCTTTCTAGGCTACCCTTGCATCCTTGCCCCTTCGGCCCATCCTTGACAGCTTTCGCTGGCCAGCCCTTCAGGGTATCCTTGGGGCGGGCTGCATCCTTCGGTTGTGCGGTGCGACGCCCTTGTGGGCCGAGCCTTAAGGATGCTGGATGGGCAGGGCACCCCTGGCAGCCCTTGGGCCTTTCAAGACCTTCCAGGCCCTCCTAGGCCCTTGCATCCTTGCCGCGCATCCTTATTCAAAGGTTTGGTCGTGCACTAATGAGCGTCACAGAAGAAACGGAGGGACTTTTTGGGCCCGCCCTCCGACCTGGGCCCGAGGAGCGGGCCGAAAACCAGAGCCCCTCCCGAGCCCAAAGCGGTTCCTCCTTCCAGCGTCCTGAGTGTCAGGGTTCGGAACTCCTCGCGGATCTCTTGGAGCGTCGCTAACCCCCCTCCCCGGCGCGCGGGGCGCGCAGGGTTCGGCGCCGGAGGCGCCGCCAGGGGGCTCCATCAGATGAAGGGGCCCTAGGACACACACACATAAATACACACAAATAAAAATATTCCCCATCATTTCCCATATTTTCTGGGTTTCTGTCTTCCCCCCCACTTCCCATGTTTTCTCACATTTTCAGGGGAATCGACGATTAATTGTGTCTGTATGTTTCTTTTCCTCCTGATCAGAGGCCAACGGCATTTGTATTTGTACGCGGTCAGTTTCCGCTTGCCTGCGTTCGAACGCGGCCTTTCGTGCACGCGGGACCGCCGAGGTCGTACATGTACGGACTATCCTTGCTCAGCACCGATCCGAGAAATGCCCGCGAACCTTCGACATTTCACGCTCATGCAGTTTCTCCTATTCTATCGACGCACCCCCGCCCATCACCGAGAGGCCTTCTACCCCCCCCTTCTGCTTCCACGTTGAGAGCCATGGTTGAGAGCGCTCGATGTGCTGATGTATTGGGAAGTGGCGTGCCTGGGCACGAGGAGGTGCAGCCTTTGCCCTCAGTCCTTCTTGTCTCATGTCGCTCTCCCCCCGAGCTCACGCAGCCCTCGTGGACTCGGCACTTGTTCACAGCAATGCCAGGCCTGTCAGGAGCAGATCCGATCATATTGTAGGTCCACTGAGCATGGCATCGGCTAGCAGACGGGAAGCCACAGATACAATGCAGGACATGAGCAGAATTCCCTCCACGCGCGGGTCCGGCAGGGCGGCTTCAGGCGGAGAGCACGTCAGAGAGGCAGGAACGAGGGCGAGCGGGTCTGGCGGCGAGAAGGGTGAGGACCGCACGGGCCGTCCTGGGCCCCCCCTGCAGCGAATCCCTCTCCCCAGCCAGCTTGACGGGCGAGTCTGCACCGCAGATGAAGGACGCGATCGTGGTTGAGGACCGAGCGCTCGACATGCAGGGTGGGGGCCTTTCCCTACGCCCTAGCTTAGTACGGTAGCAAATCATGGGAGCCTTGCGTACACTCGCAATTCCGTCTTTAGAGTGCGCTGGCGTCGAAGAGTGTTTGGTAACTGATGAGATAGCGCCGAGTTAACGTCGAGTAGCGTCGACTTGGTGTCGATGAGGGTCGGTTAGCGTCGACTCGCAAGAGCCAGGAAGATGGTATCGGAACATCCCATGAGTTGCCACCGAAGCCTCGGTCCTGCCGCCGGGCGCTGCGCGGCCCAGGATGTGGAAGGCGCACCACCGAGAGCCGGGATCCCGCGGCATACCCTGTCAGGCCTCGTGTCGATCTGGTCGATCCGGTTCGGTATCGATCCCAACCGGCCCGATCTGCGTGAGTTTCGTCGGGCGTCGAGTGAGGGGGGTGCGATAGATAGGGGGTGAAGAAACGTGCGTCTTGTGCGCGTTAAGTGGAGCCCTGAAGGGGCCCCTTGTGGCCCCCAAGGGGCACGAAAGGTGCACGGTTCCCCCCCCCTGTTCAGGAGCGAAAGAAGGACGTACATGTACATGAATCCACGCTCGCTTCGAGAGGACGCATTGCGCAAATGTTCGTACAACGCGGCCGGTCTCGCGGATCGAGGAGCCGTGTTCATGCACATAGCTGGGCGCGTACGTCCTTTCTGGGCTCCCTACCTGTATCGCCCCCCATTCCGTAGCGCCCGATCCAGTACTCTGGCGATCCTGTGTGGCCCGATGCTTGCATGGCGCTGCTGTGCATCCTGGCGTGGCCGATTCGCGTCCAACTTCGCAGGCCTAGAGGTTGACACCAACACCAAGATCGGCGGTGTGCCTCCACCGAGGGATGAAGAACCCAATCTCGGTGATGGTGGTAATATTCTGGCTTCCAAGGTGACCGAAATATTACCACCAACACCGAAATCCAGGATCATCTTCCCCCTGTGGAGGCAACCCCCTGTTTTGGTGTTGGTGCCCATTTCCAGGCCTCCAACAACTCCGTGCCGGTGCGGCCCGCTGCGGCGCACCGTCCGATGCCGTCTGATTTCCCCGTTCGGTGCTGACTGGCCCTGCCCTGTGTCGCTGGCGGCGCGCGGGGCTGGATCGACGCGCGCGCGGATGACGTAACCCGAGCCCTCGATGGTGGGAGCTCGACCTCGGCCCCCTGCACCGCGTCCCCTGGGTCCAGAGGCGCGGGGTGGGCGGTGCGTCGGTCAGGCCTCTGCGGGGCTGGGAGTCCTTCGGTGAAGGTCCCCCTTCCCTTCAAGACCCGCCCGCCCCCTCCCGACCTCGATCTCCTTCCCGATGGTCCTCCCCCTCCTTTACGAGCTCGTTCTCCTTCGTGTTCGATCGTCTTACACCCCCGTCCCGATCTCATTCCCCTTTCGTGTGCAGGTGCCCCGCGGCAAGTCACGCCACCATTGGGGCTCATCTGGGCCGTCTTGCGCCTGTCTTCTGCTCCTGCGTGCCCTCTTGACTCTTGACCCGTCTTGGGGCTCTCTTGGGCAGTCTCATGGCCTTTTTGGGCCGTCTTCGGCTCCGCTTTCGCCCTTTGCGGGCCCTCTTGGGCCGTCCTCGGGCCCATTTGGCCGTCTGGGGGTCTCGCGGGGCCGTCCTGGGGCCGTCTTGAACAGTCTTCGGGCCTCTTCGGCTGCCTTGGGCCCCTATGAGGCCTTCTTGGGCCAGCCTGGGGCTGCCCTCCCCCCCCCCCCTCCCCCCCCGACCCCCCTTTCAGAAGATTGCAGAAACCCTGCCAGACGACCCTTCGCCTTCTACCACACCTCCACGTGCCAGTGGGCACGGTGGCGGGAAACGGAGGAGGGAGCCACAAGCAGGAGGCTGAGTCTGAAGGGCGGCGGAGCGAGAGCAGGAGCGAGATCCAGATGAAGAGAAGCATTCGCCAGAGCAGGAGCAGAAACAAATAAGCGGATGAGGAGGTGCATGATGATGCGCAGCAGCTGATTGGCCTGCTATCCAACAAGTGGCGCTGGCATTCCGCACAATCGCATTCGCCCCCTTCTCCTCGGGTTGTATCGTGCTGAGGCCCCGACCGGGTGCACAGCCTCTTCTCAGGCGTTCCGTCTTTGTCCGCTGCGTGTCAGGGAAGGCAAGGACTGGTACCGAGTAGTTGGTTGGACTTCTCACGGACAGGGAAGGAGAGAGAGAGAGAGAGAGAGGGAGACAAAGAGATAGAGAAAGAGCGAGTGAGAGAGAGGGAGAGGGAAAGGGACCAAGGGGAGGAAGATAAGGAGCAGGCAAAAGAGCAGGCGATGGCACGGCGGATACTGGAGTGCATACGCGTTTGCCCATGCATGCATGTTTTTCATGCTTGCAAGTGCGTGTGCGCGGTTGTGTGTATGTGTGTATGCGTGCGTGCGTGCGTGCGTGCGTGTTTGCCTGCGTGTGTGTGTGTGTGTGCGTGTGTTTCCTGAGTGTGTGTACATGCTTGCCACTTGCAGCCGTCACTCTCGCCCAGTGGATGCGAGCCCCTGCGGTCCTCTCTTTGTTTCTTGTCTTTCTTCTCTCTCTCTCTCTCTCTCACTCGTCATCCAGAGCTGTTCAGGCTTAGGCTAGCGCTCAAGGCGGCCAGCGCCGCTGCACACTCAAGTGGGCCTGGACAGCTCTCGTTACTTGTACGTTGCCGTCGCTTGAGACAAGCTCGCTTGATTATGATGTTCGCCATGTGCCTTCAGATACGAGCTTCGCTCACGGCATCCTGTATCGGGTCTGGAGCTACGCTTGGGAGAATGTATTGCGAATGCAGGCTGGTGGCTATCACGAATCTAGCTATCTACACTTTAGGGTCTGTTCGTGACGGTGCGAGGAGATCGCGACCTCCATGTTTATGTGTACGGATTGTATCCATACTGACGACAGTTGTTTGGAAGTTTGGTACGTCTACGGTTATTGTTGTGTTTTATTATGTTGCTGGCCCGTCTATTTTGATGCGCGGTCTATATGTAACTACTTTTGCGGTTGATGCGCTTGCGATTACTCCCACGCTGCAGGCTTCAAAAACAAGAGAATCACCGACGGCTGCGGCTCGGTAGTGCCTATTCGCATTGCGTCTGGCTCGGTGCTCGCCACTGGCTACACGATGAGGCAGTTCATTGGTTCATACCCGCCTCTCCGTGAGGGCAACGGTCCTGGTCGAATGATCAACTTGAGAGTAAACTGGCGGATTCGGTTATTGAGTCACTGGCGTGATTCGCTCCCGCTGGGCCCCACCTGGGCAGCTCCGTACCCCTTTGCACCTATCTCGTCTATGTGTTGGATCGCTTTGGCACAACCTCACTCCGACGACATCCCCGCTCATGATTAAAGCCCTGCAGCTACTCCAGCAGGATATAGTCGATACCCTCAGCAAATCCGCCTACGCCCTGGGCAGTGACTTCACCGCCCAGCCATGCGTTGTCACGATATGTTTGAGCATTGTTTGGGGTCGGCAACTTTGGACACCGGGGACTAGACTGCAGCAGCGGGGCCGCCAAATAGGGTTGTTTTTTTCGCACCCTCCCCGTAGTTGGCCGTTGCTAGACGTGGTTGTGCTGATTTTACCTACCCACTTGAGATATTTACATTTTTTGCCAGGGTCACATCTGCGCGTTTGTGTCTGCGCTAGTGCTACACATCATCGTGTTGCCAGTTTTCTGTGCCAGTTTGGAAGTTTGGTCATGCACATGTGACAAGGATGTTTAGCTATTTTTCGTTTGCGCGGTCAGGGGTCCAATGTGCAAAACCGGGCCACCCGCATTCGGGCCCCCACCGATATCGATGCGTGCTCCGACGCTGCGTTAAGTGGCGGCTCTTCCACGTAATTCACATCATGCCCACGGAGAGGACATATAGTGTGGAAGGTGCTCGCGTTGCGTTCTGTCGCCCGCGGGCTAATAACCTCGCTGTCTCGGCAGCCATCCCGAAGGGCCAAGGCCGTAAGTCTGCTGACGGTGAGTTCCTGAACCCGAAGCCCCCGCGACGAAGACGGGGGCAAGCCTCTCGCCGCCGACCGCTGGAGACCCCACCTAAAATGCCCGAACACAGTGACCTGTTCGCCCAGGCCCAGATCGATCGATTGTGTCAGAAGTTTGCAGGACACCGACGGCATCTAGTTCTTCGGAGGTTATGGCAACGAGCTCTGGGACATTGTTTTTGGAGACGTCTATGATAATCTCCGACGGAGGGCCCATGCTGCTGGCCTGGGAGAGGGGCCTCTTAGCGTCTATACCCGTGGGCATGGTCCCCCACTGGTACGTTGGTACGCTGCGCGCCGTGGGGAGGTCTCTTGGGCCCAAACATGTAAACCTTACAACGCGAGTGGTGACCGTGCGCGCGTGTTCTGGCACATGTGCACGCTCTCACCACACTTTCATGACCGCATGCGCGTCCAGGCACCATGCGTTTATGTCTACAATCACTTCATCTTCCACCTCGGGGCCCTCTGGCGTTTACTGTCAGTAGCGCATTGCAGATTGCACCCGCTCAGCGATGGCTTCGGGGCGTCCTCCACCATGTTCGGCACTTTCTGCCTGCGTATTTTCGGGGGGCTACCCGCGTTGTCGCCAAGCCCGAGGGTGCGTTCAAAACGCGATTTGTGAATTGGAGGAGGTTCCTGAAATATACGGATACTTCAGCGCTGGACTCCGTGGACTTGGACGGGCTCAATAAAGTAGCCCGCGGCGAGGGCGCGAGCGGAGCGCAGGGGGGCGCGCGCGCCACCATCCTTTCTGTGACTGACTCGACAGAGCATGTCTCCGCCAGCGCGAAGTGGTTGTCTCAGGCCGGCGTCGATCGCGCGAGCCTGCCCGCGGCCCTTCGACACCCGACAATGGTCGGAGGCTTCGGGGGGACAGGCTCCCAGCATGCGGTTTGCCGCGCCGTCGAGGCGCAGGCGCAGCCGTCGCCTGGGCCCGAGAAGCTCGCAGCGACCCCGGAAGGAAAAACGCTCCCGGGATGCTCTGTGAAGGATAAGGACCCCAACGCCCTCAGGTTTTTCAACCCTACGGTCCAGGTCCTCCGCTGGCTATCGATGCTCAGTCGTGCAAAAGCCCGCTGACGCCGTTGGCCACCACCACTCCCCCATACCCTCACAGTATACTTATTCTTGTGCGAGACCACCATGCCCGGGAGTCTCAGGACGTTTCCAGGGTAATTAAGCTTACGTATGGCCATACACCATGCCCCCATTCCACCATCAAGCTTACGCGTTGGCCAGGAGATGCGATGCGCCCCCTGAAGGTCGTCGTCGATGCCGTGGCCCATCGCATGCGTGCATGAGGAATATATGTAGTTTTATTGGTCTACCATCACGACACCTACACCTATGCCGCATAGTCGGTCGTGCACTCCGTTGCTTGCGCGATCTAGCCTGGCCAGGTTGGCGCTTCGGATCTTCGGGGACCGCCGTGCCACGATTGGCCCGCGAGGCCCAGGTCTTGCCCCCCCCCCCCCCCTTCCGCCCCTGCTGCTGCTCGCGCCGAGGGCGCGAGACGTCGAGCCCAGGAGTTCTCGGAGCGGGCGCTGGACAGGCATGCGAGGATCCCCCAATTGCCTTAACTGCTTGGACCGCCTCTTCCTGCGTTTGGACAAGGTTCGTCGGTGCAGAACCATCGCAGTATTTCGTGCCCGAAGGTCCGATTGTCGACTGCGTGGGGGCTGTGAAGGGCGTCTGTGGGGCCGCGTGGCCTTCTACTTTAGCAGTGTTAGGCGGGCCTTCACAGGCTTCATGAGCATGCGTTTCCGTAGGCTTGGAGACATATGCACGGGGCAGAACAAGAGGATCCCGATCGCAGGGCCGCAGCCGGATAACATCCTACACGTAGATAGAATGTATCTACTGGTCGATCGGTGGATGATGCCATGCTGCGCCGAACTTGCATTGCCGCGTTGGCCTGGGCTCGATCACGAATGAGGCATATTCTGGCATTGTGAATTTCGATGCAGAGCCTGAACGAGCCCCCTGGAGGCGCGGTGCGGCTGTCGTTTCGTGTCTGGAGGTTGAGTCTCATGTGTCGCACGCAGGGGCGCGCGCTTGTGAAACCCATGACCGAGGTTTTCGCGCTCCCGGGCAACTTTGCACACTACAAAGAAGAAGTCGCTCCCGCCGCTCCCAGGCACTCGAACAGCTCGCGTTCTAGGACAGCTCCGAGGTGCACGAAAAGGTAGGCTGCGCAGCTGGGGCACGCGCGATTTGACCCCTGCGGACTGGATGGTCCTAATTTGCATCGATGTGCTCTTCTTCGTCCGTCTCGACTATTACCCTTGCCATGTCAAACGTCTGCGGGCGAATGTGTCCTGCCTGGGCCCCGTGAAGATATGGCTAGATGCTGGTTTGATTCGGTCTCGAGGACATGCAATCATCTCGCCCCTGGACGCGCGCGCCCCAGCTCAGTTTGAACAAGATTGTTGTAGCCTTGCCCCGAAGTCCACGCCGCCAGCCTCGCCGACCCCCCACTCCAGCATGGCCTTCGGATTCGGCGGGAAGGGCCAGCATGGTTGACGGCCCTGGCCTGGGAAGGGCCCGGGGCGGGCTCTCGCCCTTCGTTGTAATGGCCTCGCTGGCTGCGGCGGAGGCACGCCTAACGGCTGGTCTCAGCAATGCCCGCCAAGCCAATCCCAGGGGGTCTTCGCGGACATGATGGGGCAGGTGAACGGGCTCATGGGCCGGGCGACGGCGCTGGAAGCCATGGGCAACCTCGACGCGACCCTGGCCGAGGCGCAGCAGCAACGGCAGCAGCTGCAGACTCCCGCCTCCAATCCGACCTGAGTTCCACCGGCTACGAGCCCGTCGCCGCCAGCTCGTGAGATGGTCGAGGCCGTGATCGCCGCCCACGAGAATCGCGCGCGGGACCAGCAGATTCCCCGTCATCGGGGGACAGCCGCCTTCGGGCGACGATCGATCGCCTCTCGGCGGCGGTCGGCGCCGGCGGCGGCAGCTCCGACCTCGTCGAAGCCGCGCTCGAGGCGAGTAGCGCTGTCGAGCGCCGGAGGTGGGCTCGATCTTCCAGCCGGCGGGCGCCCGGAGTCGCCAGCTCGGCGAGCTTCAGAAGACATCCAAGACGACGGCTGATGATTGC